GAGTTAATTAACAATATACGATACGCTGATGACACGCTAATAGTAACAGATACCATAGCAAATTTACAGTTTTTGATGGAAAACATAAACACTCATACCAATTAGTATGGTCTAAAACTGAACATCAAAAAGACTAAATTCATGATTGTAACAAATAAGCTATACACCAATGTGAATTTAACCATAAATAATCAGCCAGTTGAAAGAGTAACGTCCTACAAATATTTAGGGGTTTGCTTCAATAATACTAATGACCAGACAAGAGAAATCAAGAGGCGAATAGAGATAGCGAGACAATCGTTTGTCAAAATGAAAAAGTTCCTATGCAGCCGGAACATAAATATAAACTTAAGAACAATAATGTTAAGGTGCTATGTTTTCTCCGATCTGCTGTACGGCGTGGAAGCCTGGACACTGAAAAAGATAAACATAAAAAACATTGAGGCATTCGAGATGTGGTGTTACAGGAGAATGTAGAAAATACCATGGACAGAAAGAGTTACAAATCAAGATGTTCTGCTGAAGATGGGGAAGGAATACGAAGTCGTAAAAACCATATAATCGAAAAAACTTGAATATCTGGGCCACATAATGAGAGGAGAATAGTACCCTCTGCTTAGACTCATAATCCAAGGAGAAATCTCGGAAAAGAGAAATATAAGACGTAGGAGTATTTCCTGGTTGCGAAATTGAAGAAAGTGGTATGGGTGCAGTTCAATACAGTTGTTCTGAGCTGCAGCCTACAAAGTAAAGATTGCTGTGATGGTAGCCAACCTCCGATAGAAGACTTACTGCAAGAAGAAGAAGAAACATATTGAGGGCCAAATATATTGTATTTGGTATTAAGCTGATCGCTAAAAATCGCATAATAAAATGTCGATAAAGAAGCAAAGAAAAACTTAAAATAAGAGGGGAAACCAGTCAGCCGAGGGAACCTTTCAACGGTGCGATGTTGAGCTTGGATCTGCTATCTATGTATATAATAAACAATATTACGGCTCCTAACTAAGGATCTGAGCACAAAACTAACTCTAAAATTTGGATCAAAAATACAACAATTGCTGATATCCAAAGTCTGTAGACAAGCAAAGTAAAGACAAAGTTATTGCCTTACTTAAACCTGGCAAAAACTCCACAAAAGCTATCGGCCAATATATTTATTTATTCTGTCAGTTATAAAAAATACTTCTGCACGTGATCCTTAATATAATTTTACTGATAATAGAAGAAAAACTCAAATTAAAAGACTAAAGTGGCAATAGACAGGGAAGATCACGTACGTCACAAATACTAAATCTTACCCAACACATCAAAGACGGGTACGAAAGATATCAGGTATGAGGAGTGGTATTTGTCAATCTAAATGCCGCTTATGACACCTTAAATTAGAGGGCATTTCCAAAATCTATGTGACATTGCCTTAGGTAATAAACTCACTTGTATTATCCGCGTATGCCTACACAACAGAAGATTTTTCGTATTACATAATGGTAAAAATAACAGATGGACAACGCAGAAGAACGGTCTCCTTTGGGTAGCGTAATGGCACCTACACTGTATAATATTTACACAACCCATACCAGTAAATACGTTACGGCCTTCTTAAGCTAATTCTCCAAGGGAAGGTAAATGGTAAGAGAGGACCGGGAAGAAGACGCATTTCCTGGCTTCAAAATTTACGAAAGTGGTATAACACGACTACCACTGAACCGTTCCGCGCTGCAGTGAACAAAGTAAAGATAGCCGTGATGATCGCCAACATCCGGAACGGATAGGCACTTTAAGAAGAAGATACCAGTAAATACTAGAACTTTTATTAGGTAGACGATCTATATTGTTGCACAACAAAAAACTTTAATGTCCCTAACAGAGACGCTTTTACAAATCTAAACATCCAATAGTATCATGAAATTTTTAAACTCTGGACTTGCTATATATACCTTGAAGATAGTTTGAATCAAACTTTGTCATTCACAGAACTTTGTTTAAAACTAAGAGGTAAACTGAGGACCAGAAAAGTAATCTCTGGAAACTTGTCAGCTAAATTGCTAAGAAGCGCATCCTTCCATCCTTAAAACGTAGACGCTTGCACTCTATGCTTCTGCTGTCGAATATACCTTGTCAGTATAGATGATACCAACACATACTTAACACGTAGATTTAGCTATAAATTAGTCAGTCAAATTAAGCGGATATTAAGACACACACATTCATACATAAGCTCTACAATATCTTAGCTATCAATTCACCTAATATCCGAAGATAAGTATCTATAGAATAAAAGATACAAAGTCTAAAATCGCAACATCCACTCAACGAATACCAGACCAATTTATGACTAAAATCGAGAAAACACTGACCAGATCAACACATATACACATTGCAAGAAATAAAAAAAAAGATAAGCTGCTCCTCGCCATCTGAACGCTTGAGAGGAATTTCCTTATGGTAGTTATCTTCGTAAAATCTGCGAGGAGGACTCTTTCTAGTAAATACCGGTTAACCTGTGCGAATGTAGGCAGTACAAGATTTATCACACCTTCTTATTTGACTTTGCCATTCAAATCGCTCTTTTCTGAAGTGACAAGGTTTAATTAATTGAATTGAACATATAAAGTACAGTCAGTAAGCTATTGCTTATAAAGATTATTGTAAATTTGACACTAACTCCACTTATATTAATTACATTACCCCTAAATAAAAGATAAAACATTCAGAAGTATGTAATATCGGTAAAGTGGTATATTCTTGTTAGATAAATTAAGCATTCTTCCCTTTTTTGTGCACTACTACCCATTTTTACATAAAAATATCACTTTTAGCACGTAAATATTTATTTTAAGATAACCCATCCAGAATTATCATAATATGTAGTACACAGATAAAATCATAAATAAAATAATAAAGAAGCTGTATACAAGATATCGTAAAACAATGGATGAAATAAAAGACATTCTTATAAATCCTATCCTTAAATAAATCGTACAAAGACATACTCATGTTAAAAAAGTACATTAGGAAATTTCAGCATATGAAAAACACATCCAATTTGGTAATGAAATCCTTTTGTATTTATAAAGCTATTTTTAGAACAGCATGTACCTACCAAAAACAGGTATTTGGTAGTATACATATCTATTACATATTGCAATGTGTATGAATGATAAAAAAATCAGGAGTCCGTATAAACCGTTTAAAATATATAAAATGTATATATCAAGAACGCTGGAGCTCTACGGCTTGATTGCATAGTTGCCAAACTATCAGAGCTTACTTAAACCGATATTCTGATGGTTCCAATATACAGTGACAAAGATCTGAACGACCCCTATAATATATACACGTGAACTAAGCGAAATACATTTATGATACAGGGGTACTTATGAGCTCCAAAATTTTATTAAGAATTATGAAACTATACATCTTAACGAATCAACAGAGCCAATATTATGGAATGGTCAAGTGAGCTCCGTATATTGGTGTCCACTTGACCACGGAGCTCACTTAAACCTGAATTTTAACATGGGCGGAGTTCACTTTATGCCGTAAATATATATATATATATATATAATATATATATATATATATATATATATATAATTGGTCCTAGTCAACTTCGCATCCAATCATCATTGAAAAGAAATTGGACAAGATTGGATTGAAAGTTATAGGACAACTTAGCCAGCTAAAATAACCAGCATTTTAAAATTTAATAAATTTTTTTATATTAATTTTTGACCGAGATGTAGAACTTTTAATAACGCACTCTGAGACGCACGGTGAGCTCGCAGCGAATGTGGACGCGCGTAAACTGCACGTGTAAATCAATTTTCAATATCCCTTCAAAAAATTAGCATAGAAACATTTAGCAGCGCTTCAAGTGTTCGTATTAAATTGTTTTATAATTTCCATTAACTAAACTGCCCACGTTTATGGCTTAATTTTGTTTAAAACTCTTATAAACAAACTAATTCACCACGTTTTAACGAAAATTTTAATTATAAACTGCTACAACTTTTTTATTTATAATGATAAAGTAATATGCATATCTGAGTCTTTATAGACTCAATGACGTAACTACAATTCAGGACCCCAGGGGGGAAGTAACCGAAGATTCCTCTCTCCCCAATATAAGAAAAAGCTTAACCGTACCTCTATATAGGAACTATCTATATGGAGGTACAATACAACATGTTTAAAATTTAAAGATAAAATATAATAAAATTTATACCTACGCAATGCTAAAAATTACTTTAATTTAATTAATCTGGTTTCGTTTCATTCATTATTCAAACATTAATGCAAGGGTTAACATTGATAACACAATAGTATTTTGTTAATATTCATACTTTAATTAATTTTAGTTTTTCATGCTACAGAATATACTGTTACAAAGATATTTGGAACAGATTCCATCAGGTCCATATCAAGAATAAACTATGCCATCATCAATGCAGTCCAATTTCTGGCCTTTTCATTTATTCTTGCAGTTTTTATATGGTGACAATGTCTTTTCTTGCTTATAGAATCTGTCACAAATTGAGTAAATACTCGACCTGAACGATTTTGAATTTTTTGAATACAGTCCGCACTCTCCATTCTAGTTTAAATCTCTTGGTGTAGCTTGTCTAAACATTCAAGTATACATATTTTGGTTTCATCTGCGAGCAATAGTCCGGCGTCTTCGGTTGTTTCTCCACGCATTTTTTTTAAACATTTCCTACTTTTTTTTAAAGGGAGATTCACATTTCAACATATTTTTCCGAAGCAAACCGGAGAGCCGTCGTGACTAACTGTCTTCCAAAGATACTTTCAAACTTCGGAGTTTTATTACGATGTTTTCAAGGTTTAAACACTCCGTCTGTAAATACTTCTCTGGGCTGTTTATTTCTTTCAAAACGTACCCACATAATTAAAGGAATGACCAACTTAAACTTAATGATCATTATTTTTGTTATTTTTTTATAAACAGCCCACAATTATATTTTTGTTATTTTTAGAGGGTGCATCCGATGAAGAAAAACAAGATCTAAAAAATGAAATAAAAATTATGAAAAAAGTTGGCAACCATAAACATATAGTCCAACTGTTGGGTTGCGTGACTATGGATCAGCCATATATGATGGTTCTTGAGTTAGCTCCTAATGGATCACTAAAAGACTATCTTCTTAAGTTAAGAGAAAAATGGTCTAAAAGAAAAAGTCGGTTTTTCTTCGCTGAGTAAGTATTTATTTTTTTATAAGGGAAATTTTAGTTTAAAATTAAACTTTTAACTTTAGTAATTAAAAAAAAAACAAAACAAAGTTTAAGGTTCTAATTGACAATGACGTAGAAATAACTCAGAACATTTAAGCCAGTTGTTTTCACTCTAAAAAGTTCCCAATAACCTTAGCCTAGAAATTGCTTTCGATACTGTGTGCGAAAACAATTTTGGTACTAATTTAAACTTGTTGTTCTTGAGCGTTAAGAAATCAGCATTAATTTTATGTGCAAATATTCAAATCTAAATTTTGTGTATTGTGGAGTAAATCTACAACTGGCTTGGATGATATAAACTTTTCATTTAAGATAAATCCTTGGTCAAGAAAATGGTTTCTCAAATTTTAAGTATATTATGAGCATCTGCAAACTCATGCACTCTTTTTTTTACTTATTGGATTTGTAAACCATGTTGTTGTTTCCGTTATATTTAAAGAGAGAGAATTGTTTTTTATTAGTGTCAGCACTGTGTTAAGTATTCCTGAAAAGTAAAATAATACTTACTACTCATATAAAATTAACTACTGATAAGTATTTATGAAGAATCCTAGAATTATAAATACCTGGTTGAATGTGTATTGTGCTCGCCCATCTTCTTAAAGTGGAAACTGCACGAAGAGTGTAGCCTCTTTTTCTCAATACACGATAGGACCTTGGACTTCCTGCATGCAGTGAAATAGCGAAGCAATATCTTCAACTTTCCACTTTACTTTCTTGACCAACTTTAATTTACGAAGTTGCCCTTCTGTAAGTATGTTTTCAATTTTATTCTTTTCTTCCCTTTCTTTGTGAAGTAATTGTTTTAAAAGTTTATTCTCAGTTTCGAGAATTCCAATGTATTCAGCTAAAATGAAATTCATTTTCACTAAAATGAAAGATTGTTTAAATACATTTAATATTTTATTATTGCATTTACTAGCTTAACGTTTGAGTGGAAACAGTTCTGTTTATTTAAGGAATGTTCTCTTTGTCTCCTTCATTGCCATTGTCGCATTGTATATGTACTTCGGATTGTATTTCTACATCGAGTGATGAACCCATCAACTATGCTATTGCCTTTTTTCTACTCGTCAACATCGTTTTTGTTCAGGATAAGTCTGCACTCTTGGGAATTTCATTAAATAACGGGAATGTATTGCATCACATTTTAATTTCCACTTATTATGAGGCAAACCCAACATTTTTTCTTTCATACAGAAATCGCTTTCCACAAAATGGTTCAAACATATTCTTGCAGTGTTTACATTAAACTTATGTTGCTAATAGCACTTCACAACCCATTGACCGCGAACTTGTTGCTCTTTTGGAAATCTAAAGAAACGCCAATCCGAAATAACTTTGTTTTTTATTGTTGTTGTTGGAAGAACCCACCACTGCACAGAATACCATAATAAAAAGTTATATATATATTATATATATATATATATATATATATATATATATATATATATATATATATATATATATATATATAATATATATATTTAGTTTATATATTTTATCTAAAAGTGCACACATTTATTTGTCAAAGTACTAGATAAACGATAAAACAATACTAAATCTGACAAAACTCCATACAAAACAGAACATTTCTGGTGATATTTGTCGCCAAGTGACGTCACACGTGCAAAAGAGATAAACTGATCGCGTGTGCGTGGATTTATCTTTAGAAGTTCATAGTATCATGAAAAGTCCTATTAAAAGTGTTATACAACCGATTCATTTCGTAGAGCAAATTGGGATCTTTTCCAAGAACATGTTAATCAAAACCTTCCTGAGTTAGGCATCATGTCAACACATAACCAAGTTGACACAGGGATCTCCAAAGTTGAGAAACTTCTTCAAGAAGCCTCATCCCTGGCTATTCCTAAAACAAGATACAATCCATATACTCCAACACTTCCACCGCAAATCATCGCGCAAATCAAAACCAAACGTAGATTACTCAGAGAGTATAAAGATTCAGAGACCCCCTCATCAAAACAGAATACAATACACTCTCGGCGGTCATAAGACTCGAGGTGAACAAGCAGAAACAAAGACAGTGGATGCGACCACCTCAGACCTTGACTACCGGGATGGCTCTGCATTCTGGAACAAACTCAAAGTCCTAACAAGACAAAAAAGTCAGCCACGATCTCATCTCAAAATCAATAACGTCATACTAAACAATCCACAAGATAAGGCCAAAGCTTTCAAAAACACACTTCAGGCCACCCTCGTTTCACCCAATAATCCAAACTTTAGTGAAAGATCCAAAAGAGCCACCGAACGGAGAGTGGAAGATATATTCTACTACCCTCAGCCACTTGACGGACCACATCCTCATCCGATGATGGCGCCAGTGACTGAGGAAACCGTCAGTCAGATGTGTAAAATAGGAAAAAACACGTCTCCTGGCCCAGATAGCATCCATAGAAGATGCCTCAAAAATCTTCCACAGAATATTATCCGTTGCTCACCAATATAATCAATGCATCTCTTGCGCTGAGCTACTTTCCTATTCCTTGGAAAGTGGCCAGCACCGTCATGGTCCCTAAAAAAGGGAAAACCCTCACCAACTCTGAATGGTATAGATCAATTTCGTTACTGAGCACCCTAGGTAAAGTCTACGAGAGGATCCTCTAAGAGAGAGTCGTAGAATTCCTAGACGCTCACTTCCTCATTCCAAATTACCAATTCGGATTCAGGGCTGGACACTCCACACAAAATGCATTGGTTGAATCAACAACTTTCATTTCTCAATCCATTAACGAAGGAAGCACGTCGTAGGTATTTTCCTCGATATCCAGATGGCTTTCGATCAAGTCTGGCACGCAGGCTTGATCGAGAAACTCCACCTTGCTGGACTGCCAACACCTTTCGTTAAACTAATAAATTCCTATCTCTCTCATCGGACGGTTCGGATCAAAATAGGAGAGCACCTCTCCACTTTATTCACTCCTCAAGCAGGAGTGCCCCAAGGCTCAATACTTGCTCCAATATTATACACAGTTTACAATAGCGACATCCCCCGCCCACAGCAAGGATCAGAGTCTCTCCTCCTATTCGCTGATGATACAGCCATTCTTACCTCAGGCTCCTACAGGGAAGGAGAGCGACGGTCTGTATTCGAGAAATCGCAAAATTATCTTGATAAAGTCGTGAGGTGGTGCAACAAATGGAGGGTTACTTTAAACCACTCCAAAACAAAAGCAATCCTATTTAGACCCCCGTACGGACGCGGCCTTCAGGGCCGGGTGACACTTTTGGGAGAGGACCTTATTCTCAGGAACTCAGTCCTCTACTTGGGAGTTCGTTTTACGAGAACTCTCAATTGGAGGGCTGACGTCCAAGATTCCCTTGACAGGATGAGAAAAAGGCTCAACCTCCTGAAAGTGTTGTCTGGTAAACTAGGAGGAACGTCCACTAACACGTTGTTGCACACCTACAAGACTTTCATCAGACCGATAATCGAATACAAGGCATGCGTTTACCTCTCCCTGAGGAACCACGAACTTAATGCCATCACCGCCACAGAGCGTAGAATACTACGTTTCTGCATGAGAAAAGACTGGCTGTATCCATCGGCCCACATATATGCAATAGCTAACATCAGCTATCGGCCTATCAAGGACAGAATCCTAACCCTCAGTAGGAAGTATGTCTTAAGAACCATAGCTGGCTCGAACAACCGAGCAAAACAAACATTAAAGACACCTTGTTCACATAGAGGGCAAATACTCACCAGGCATCCCGCTAAAAAAGTTCCATTCCCTCCAGCTAAACTTCTACATAACGCTGGACCTGAACTTCCTGAGGAGTATTTTGATATTTTAGAATCTTTCCCCATCTACTATCGCAGATAAACTGCGCACCAAAAACGCTGATAAATAGCCGTTCCTACTGTATGGCTGGTAACCCTTAAGTACCTCACTGAGAGAAGCCTTGTTCAGTTTACCAGTTTTAACCAAAAAATACTATAACGAACAGAAAGATATACGCATATACTTAGATTCTCTCAATTATCTACTTTTAGCTTGTGACATTGCGATTCTACATTTTACTCTGATATAATCATGGCTGATTTTTCCAAGTACTAAGCACGTCTAATTGTATGCATTACGATATCGATGACAGTATGAGTTTTTACCGATATTGGTGTTCTTGTACTTTTGAATGTTTACTTATGTTACAATAATTTATTATTAAAAAAGTATTGGTTCTTTATTACTATTGCTCATAGTTTTATTGTTTTACGCCTCCTCTTCACTTTTAAACTTCTGCCGGTAGTTGTCTTTATATTTTAGGGGTGGAAGCTACCCCTATTAGGGAAATATCTTATAATTGTAAATTAAAGCGGGTAATTGATTTAAATCTCTTCTAATGAAGTGAGTGAACGTTAATCATCATTAAACAACATAATTTAAAATTTTTGTCATAGTTTAACTCCTCTAAGTCTCACCCTAGATTAGTTATAATTTAAACAATGTCATTGAATACCTTATCTCCTGATTTGCATAAAAATTTGGAGTTAAATGTTTTCAAAACATTTTTATGTTTTCCCCAAAAAGCGCTTCAATTTCACGTTGAAAGATTCGATAAAAAATTGGACAAATAAGAAACTACTTTTTATGAGCTACAACTCTGCTTCTACTGTTGGGTCTAGAGACTTCAGTCACCATTTTTTTTTGTTTTTTTATAAGCTTCATTTTTGCTATAAATATTTTTTCAATAAATACTTACTTTATGAGATATTTGTGAAAAACCGTCTGAGAATGTCGTTTTTATTTTGAAAAATGAACATTTTCACTGGCAATTAACTTAAAAAGTATTGAGGAAATAAATAAATAAAAAAAGTATTGAGGAAAAAATAAAAGGGTAAGGGAAACCTAAATCCAAATTTTCGAAAAAAAACCGGGGTGACGAGGAAAATTACACTTAAAACGGTCATTTACTTGAGTTTAAACAAAGTTTACCACGCTGTTCTTTTTTTTTTGAGTTGGATTTTTATTAAATTTTATTATTTCCTAAATTTGTTTAAAATATCTCAAATCCTAAGCAAAAAAAGTTATTCTATATAGTTATTTTTTATTTACATTTTTATTTTATTATAACTTATTGGCTTTTATTTATTTAAATGTTCTTTATTAGTTAGCGAATAAGTATTGTAATATTTTGTTTTCATTTTAGTGACACAGCAGAAAATTGGGATCCAAATAAAAAGTGAGTATGTACTCCAGCTATATGACTAGTGTTATCTTGCATTTGTCTTTTCGATAAAAACAAATAGAGACAAATACTTTAATATAATATAATACACTATAATACAATTTAAGACTAACGTCAAGTATCGCTCTTTTTTAACACCTTTTTTGCTGGAACCTTGATATACACCAATATAAACTATAGGTATTATAAATCAATTTTTTTTTAGGATGGACTCAGACAAATTGAACTATACAAGAATAGTATTTGAGTAAGTATAAAATCTCTTATACCCATAGAAAAATCATCCCGAATTCTAAGAATTACATTATCCTTACAAGCAGCATTCGTCGAAAACGCCTCGTCTTTTGTCAAAAATTCGTTCTATTTCATTGATCTTCTGAAAAACATTTCTATTTCAACTTCAGATATACTAGTTAGTTTTGACATTGTTTCTTTATTCACCAATATTCCTACTGATGAAACCATTTCCGTCTTGGACTCTAAACATCAAATCCCACAAAACACATTATCCAAAACACTGCATGTCTAATATTGTTCTGAAGCTATTTTCTTGTGGCATTGTAAATTAATTACTATTTATAACTGGGAATAAGGTTTGTATTTTGAGAACGATTTCCGAATTGGAAATTGAAACGTCAATAAACGTATTTTTATCTTTAATTGTGGCTTATTCCCAGTTATAAATAGTAATTAATATACTGTATGTCTAATTCATACTTTCATTACAAAATCATTTCGATCAAATTAAAGATGCCACAATGAAATTCCCCCTCTCATGTAATAGCTGACATCCACATGGAACATTTCAAAACAACAGTACTGTCCTAAACAAATCTCAAACGTACCTGCTGGTTACGGTACGTTGATGAGTCTTTTGCCGTTTGGCCCCATGGTAAAGACACATTAGATCTCTTCCTCTCTCACCTGAATGGAATACATCCCAGTATTCAGTACACGATGGAAGTTGAATCTGAAGCGTCACTCACAGAAACACTCACCTTACAGTTTTTTCTATTCCGTGTACTGGAAATCCGCCCAAACTAAACCATTATCTCAAGGCCCAGTCACATCATCACCCCGCCCAACTCAATTTAGTTATCCACACTCTTGTTTCCCGTCCCATAAGACTTAGCGACGACAATCACAGATCATCCAAAATCAATTCAATAAAGCAAACACTCATATAAAACGGCTACCACAAAACACAAAACAATAGGAGCATTCAAAACACTAAATCCATTCCATCATATATAAACCTTGCGTCTTATTAACCCAAAATCTTTCTACCTTTTATCAAAGTGTCACGGATAAGATCAGTAAGACTCTTACCCTATAAATTTCAAAACCATCTTCACTATTCACTCCAAGCTGTCCAATCTCATCAGATCCGTAAAAGATTAAATCCCCAATGAAGACCATGGTGTTTAAAGATACCTTGTTCTAGTTGCCCACGTACACACACATAGAACTGACAAACCGACGAATCCACAACCGTATTTACTAACATTCTATATATATATATATATAAATCATATATATATATATCATATATATATAATATATATATACTATATCGTATATGTAAAACATTCCAATACTTCTCATCCTAGCACATCATCACTCAATCTGTATCAGTTTAAAAGCAAGGACGCATGTCCTTGATATATGAAGGCATTTGTATCGCTCTAATAAACTCAAAAATTAAGTGGTGTTGAATCACATGTTACCTGTTTAATATATTATTGCTTTCCTATGACTATCCGTTTTTCCCCTAATATAATCTATTTTTTAGTACTACAGATGATTCTTACATAACTCCTGACGACATATTAGAGGACGGATCATTTTACAGACCAGAACAAAATGCTGTAAATATGGAATATATGTCAAAATATTTATCGCTTGTGAAACCTCGACGAATTTCTGAGATGTCGCAAGGTCCGCATTCACCTACTTCGATAACATCAAGCGCTTTGTTGTCATGTGCTGACAGTAAGTATGACAAGTAAAATACTGTTAGAAATAAACTTGCGTCCATAACAATCATCCCACTTTAAACTTTTGACTTGAACTATAGTTTTTTCAGAAACTATTATTCAGTCCAAGAACAAAATAGATAAACGTTTTGACATATAACTTGATCATCATTTGACACTTCAGCTCTTCGTGAGCCCTGGCCTGCCTCAAAATATTCTTCCATCCTTCCCTATCGAATGTCTCTATTCTCCATTCTCTTACCCCCATCTCCTATAAATCCTCCTGCACATCGTTTAGATATGTGAGTTTAAGTCGACGCCTTCTTCTTCTTTCGACCAGCTTATTTAGCATGGTTATTTTATCACTAAGGATCACTTTTATCAAAGGATCACTTTCATCCATCCGCATAACGTGGCTCATCCATCTTAGGCGGATCAGTTTTATGGTTTTAACGATATATGCATCACCAAAAAATCTATAGTTCGAACTTATATCATCTTCTCCACTTACCCTGTTAGTTAAATCCGCCGTATATGGTTCACAATACTTTTCTTTCAAAGATTCGTAGGAGCTCTTCATCTCGGGTCGTCATTGTCCATGTTTCCGATCCGTAAGTGAGCACTCCGTAAGTGAGAAAGATGGCCTATTTTGGACACGTAGTAAGGAGAGACCGATATAATATTCTTCAACTTATTATGATGGGTCAAATCGAAGGACGCAGAGGAATTGGTAGAAAGCAGGCCTCTTGGTTGAAGAATATCGGGAGTGGACAGGAATAAAGAAAGCTAAGCAACTATTTAGAATAGCTCGAGACAGAGACAGTTTCGCCATGTTAATCGCCAACGTCAAGGGGACTTGATAGGGCACGTTAAGAAGAAGTGAGCACTGGACGTATTATTGTTTGGACGTTTTGGACGTTTATAAAGTTTGGACTTTGTTGCTCTTGACATATTTCTCAATAAAAGTGTTTACCTATGCATATTCTTTTACTTATTTCTCTAGGTGTGTTGTTGTTGCAGTCAACCAGTGACCCTAAGTAGAAAAACTCTTCCACTTTTTCTATAGTTTTATGTTACACCTCTAAGCTATTTTGCTGCCTTCTTGATATAGCCGGCATATACTTAGTTTTTTGGGAGTTAATCAAGTCAGATGTTTTCTGAGGTATTTTTAATAGTTATGAAAGCTTTAACTGCTTTATTTCGGGTTTTTGATGATAATATCATCAGCATATGCCATTGTCTGTACGCTACGGGTGTATATCGTACCCGTTAAGTTTATTTCCGAATCTTCTATAATTTTTTGTAACGCTAGATTGAACAGCGCATGATATCGCATCTCTCTGTTAGTTGTAAATGGTTCTGAAACATCTCCTTGTACTCGCACTTTACATTCAACTTTCCTCATTCTGATTTTAATTCATTCTACCAATCCTTTTGGTATTACAAATTCGATCATAGCCGAATATAATTGGTGTCTGTCAACAGTATCGTACGCTTAGAATCTACAAAGATGTAATGGCAGTATATGTCGTACGTTATTTCTAATATTTGTTTAATGGATGATATATGATAAAGGTAGATATGTTTTTCAAAAAGCCTCTTTGATACGATCCTATTAGATTGTTAGTATAGTGTACCAATCGTTCATAAAGTATCAGCGACAAAATTTTGTATACCGTATTAAGAAAGGAAATCTCTCTAAAGTTGAAACAGTCAATCATTGTTTGTGTATAGTGATCCAATCTTTTTGTCATACCTATATTAATAGTTTGTAAAAGAGGGTTACAAATGTTTGACCGTCACATTTAAATATTTCTGCGGGTAGGTTATCTGCTCCGGATAACTTGTTTCTGGCTAGAGACTGAATTAATTTATTCATTTCTTCCAAAGTCGGTAGCTTAGTTCCTCCTGTTCTAATTCTATATCATCGCTACCTTCAGCTCTACTTGCTCCATTAAGTAGCGTACCAAAGTTTTTCTGTCAACATGAATAGTTATTTAAGATTCCCCTTCCCAATACGCCCCGATTTGGGGAGCAGAGCGCATGTGAGTTTTACCTGACCTTTAGGAGGTATTTCTATTCTATTTTGACAGAACCAATGCCCCACGAGTCCGTCTCTTAGAGGAGGGTGGCACGCTAGCCATAGTCTTATCAGACCATATCTTCAGCTATTATAGCTAGATAGCCGAGGCTCGATAACTCCCCGTGGTACCTGTATGGCTACAGGAACACCTGCCCGTTATCCCTGTTAGGGCGAACAGGTGAACAGTGAACGCAAGGTCCCGAAACGTTAAACATGTCATCGTCGAGAAACCTACTCCTCTACCACTCATCTCGAAAGTGCGGTACGTTGTTTTGTGCTAGGGACTAGACGTTCATTAGCTTACAATCCTCCAAATAGAGGTAATATGGAATAAGTTTAGCAAATGAGTAACAGGGTTTTTGCACTGAAAGCTCGTTTACAGATGCAATACTCCTCATAACGCAAATTACTGAGAAATCTTTACAGTATAATAGACCAGCATTTCTGTGTCTAATTGTCTTAAAGAAATTATTTGACAAAGTAAAAACGTAAAAGCTACTGAAAACATCTATCAAAATAACAAAATAAAATTAACAACTCACATAATTTATAGACAGAGGCAGCGGAATAAGACAGGAGGGCTCATTAAGCCCGGTGCTCTCGATTTAATCATAAATGAAACTATCAAAAGTGTCAACAGAGGAAGAGGATACAGAATGGGAAAAAAAGAAGTAAAATTTCTCTGTTACACAGACCACGCAATATTGATAGCACAAGATGAAGATAGTCTGCAAAGACTAGTTTACAGATTGAACAAGTAATGAAAATAAAATACCTTGGAATTACAATGCCCAGCCATGGAGACCTAGACAAAGACGTGAGAGATCGAGAAAGTACGACAAGCAAATAGACTGGCAGGATGCCTTACTTACACTATATGGCGAAACAGACATATTAACACTGAAATGATATCAAGAATTTATAAATTCAGTGTAAGACCCATAATGACATATGCATCAAAAACAATATCCGACACGGCCACAACACAAAGACTACTGGAAACGTCAGAGATGGGAGTACTGGGAAGAATTATAGGAAACACGTTGAGATATCGAAGGAGGAGTGAAAACATTAAAAGAAAATGTATCGTACCCTATATAAATAATTGGACACTAAACAGAAAAAAATTATGGAATAACCACAAAATCAGAATGGGAAAACCCATGTAGTCAAAATAGCAAGATATTAATCACCAATCGGTAGAAGTATCGGAAGACTGCGTAAAAGGTGAAGTCACAACTTTCCATAGAGGTATCGATCCTCTAATGACCACGCAGAATTGCTAGTACACATGAAGTAGAGAAGAAGTCTAATCGTCTAACTCGCCTCTAGCATCCCTATACCGACACCGACACCCCAAATGACGCACGACGGCCACGTTACTATACTCACATTCATTAAAGTAAGACAGATCGCATCCTGCGTGTGTTTCTACTTGGGAGTACCTCTCTAGAGATTGCCACTCATAGTAGATCTCCTTTTAAAAGTAAGGGGTTGTGAAACTGATCGGTGGGGTATGATAAATGTATGTATCGTTAAAATGTATCTCTTTGAGATTAAATTCGATCTGTTCAGAATTTTTAAAAAATTAATGAATATTTATAAATATCAAAGTGGGCTCTATTTAGTGGTCCACAATGTACAGTGTGAAAGTTTCAAGAGTACAGAAACCAAGAGTTTCTGAGTTCCTGGGAAGGGGGATAAAAAAATCCTTTCTTTCCAGCCAGTAGGAAGATTCTTGTACACGGAGATATTTAAATTTAAATAGTTTAGGAGCCTTCTCGTGTTGTGTGGCCAGAAAATCTATTTAAGTACTTTTTGATTTTCTTTCTTTGTAGTTACCCTTTTATACACTTATTTACGACTGAGCCCTCCAACCCAACCAAGAGTAGCCGTTCGCGGACGTTTCGGTTTTGTTTGCTTACCCTACCTCCAGCTGAATAATTTCTGTCCCCAGTTACAACCCCCTATAAGTGATACTCAATGTGGTAGGCAATATAACCGTTACATGCCAAGTTTACGGCAAGGATCTTTAATACGAACCGCCAAAAAAAACGTAAGCCGTTATCGAATTAAAAAATCCAATAAATTTCACCTTTATGAAATACGATTACTTTATTAATTAAACAAAGATGATCCCGATCGTCGGTTTCAATTTTGTGAAGAATTTAGTGAAATTATAAATAACAACCAACATCTATTGTACAATACGTGTTTTGCCAATGAGTGTACTTTTATATTAAATGGGGAAGTAAATAGACATAATTGTCGTTATAATTAACATAAAAAATTAAATGTATGGGTTGGCAATTTAAGGAATCACTGAATTGGACAATTATTTCTTGATGGAAATCTTAACTGAACAACTTATTTAAATTTGTTTGAAGACATTATTGATTCGCTCATCACTGATACATTGGAATCTCATAATAATCTTTTAGAGGATGAACGGAGTTTCCAACAGGACAGAGCACCCCACATTATGATATACGCGTAAGACAATTTTTGAATCAACATTTTCCAGAGCGTTAGATTGATAGAAGGGGTTCAATAGAGTGGCCGCCAGATCAACCGATCTTTGCCTTTGGATATTTTTTGTTTTTTTTTTATACCTAAAATCAAAAATATACGCCAGTCTGCTTAAAATCTTGTAGAGTTGCGACAAAGAATTGTGACAGAATGGCGATGATTGACACCGGAAGTATTTGCAAATGTATGAAGATGCCTTGAAAATATACTGTATTATTGTATGGAGGTCACAGAAGGACATTTCGAACATTTAATTGGTTAATTTGATGATATTTAATGTTATTTATTATTACTGTACTCAACCAACAAATAAGTTAAATCCAAAATTATTTTCAAAGGTAGGGTAACGGGTAGAATAATTGGCCACTTAAGGAATTGCCAATTTAATTAAAATTGTAAATTGGTATCTTTTGAAGTGAAATATTTTGTAAGGGTTTTTTATTATTAACGAAACATCAGATTTTATAAAAACTCAGGTTATTTTAATTAGAAATAATAATGTATATTAAAAATAAACACAAATTTTAAAACTTACAGAACTACACAGTTATTGGCCATATAAACATAGTTATTGGCATATAGAATTACAGTCATTGGCCATTCATAAAATTCCTAATTTTCTTTATTTGTTTATGCAGGTAAGGCACACAAAACTATTTAAGATTTCAATTTCTTGTTGTTTCTTTGCACAAGTACCAGTATGGTAGCCTTTAACACAAAATAGACATTTTTTTCCAACTTTTGATTTAGATATATTATAGGAACAAGAATAACACAATCCTGTATATAAAAGGTTATTTACAGTTGGGTTGGTGTCGTCTAATTGATTCACCGTTATATCTGAGAGAATTTGTATTTTTTCATGTTTTGGATATCCCTCAGTTTAAAAAAATAACTTTCTTTTAGCCGACTCACCAACACGTCTTTCTTTGCTGGTTTCCAAATAAGTGCATTTGCTTTGGGATGTATTCTTCAAATTTGATGAATTCGTATTGTTGCAGACATCAAAAAATATGTTATCAAATTAACGTTTTCCTCTACAGAATCAGGAAATTGGTTTGGGGCAATTTTTGTTTTCCTTTGAAGACAACAACATCTAGTATATGTACTCTAACTCCACTTTTCAAAGGAGTGCTTTTAATTGTATGATCAATAAGTGTGTCTGCTTTTAAAATATTTGTATCTGCAATATCAACTGTATTTACTGTAACATTTTCTTTATTCTTCACAACAGTTTGACATTTTTTGCTCCCGAAATTGGCTCTTGTGGCAATTTTTTTACTGTCATCTTGATTACCCTGATTTTTGACCTTTATTGTTTGCTTTTGGGTCAATCCGCTTTTGTTTTCGTTCTAATTTTATTTTGTCTCTTTCTGCTTTTTCTTAAATTTTACGCCTTTCTGCATTTTGACGATGACGACGAAGAAGTGAGCATGAAAGGCAAACTTTCTGTTTGCTTTTTGCCCTTTCTTTCTGGGGTTTTTGGCCAAAAAAAGAATTTGTTTATTAAATTGTCAATGTCTTTAGATAATGAGTTGTCTTGATTAACTAAAGGTAGATTATTGGATATCGATTGAATATCTTCTGTCATTGTATATTCTGTGACATTTTTTATATTATATGTAATATCAACGTTTTCTGGAAGTTGAATTGGAAAATCCGAAAGTAGATTTTCTTCTGTAATAACAGAAATATCTTGTAAGTTGCATATGATTTCATTGACACCTACAGGGTTAAGTGTAATATCTGAAGATATATGGGTTTTTGTGAAAATAGAGATATCTTGTATATCATTTGTGTTTCCACCTGTCTGTTTAGTCTGAATCGTGTGTAGATCTATGGTATTTTGATATAAATTAAATATATTAAACAGCAATTTTGAATCTCCACTTAGTTCTTCGCTATTATCCAAACTTTGAAATTCTAATCTTTTTGCGGCTCAAACTGTGCCTACAAAATCTTCATATTTTATTGATTTTGTCATAGAAATAGTGTGATTAATGCCTTTATGCGGGTCTTTGATGTATCTGGAATAGTCTATTGCTTTGCTTTTCTGAAAAAAAGCCATTAATTATGGAATCTGATTTTAATCGACTAATGGCTGTGTTTAGTACCAATGCAAAATTCTCTTTGGTAACTACTCAGTACGGGTTTTCACGTCTAAACTTTAATACTGCTCGGTTCCAATTTGCTTTTAATGGTTTAAATGCAGCAATATATGCAGGTTGTATAATTATGGTTGCATTGGGATATAAAGTCACTAAAATAATTTGTTACTTCGAACAACATTCACTGGTTTGTGAAATGGTTAGGTGAGTTTTATATCTATCAACTAACAAAATGACTGGAACATTAGTGTTTTTCGCAACTAGGTACTTGTATAAGACGTTTACTATGTATTCATAGAAGTTTTCATTCTTCATCCATCTGGTATCGCTTTATCCTATGCCCCATTCTTGTGGAACGAAATTTAAAATATTGTTTGAAATTCGTTTATAAGGGTAAATAATCATTGGTGCTGATATTTCTTCAGATGCTGCAAAGATAAACATAACCATCAAATTAACTTTAGAGCGATGCTCTATTTGATATACATTTTTGCTTCCCTTTATAGCCAACACTCTTTTATTTTAGGGACACGAGAGTAAGCAGGTTTTACGATGCAAGTATTCTTGAACACCGGTGAACCATTTTTTTTAGATCTTTTTCAGACCGAACTGAACTTGTTGCCGTTACTGCTTCTGGAGTTATCTCACTTAAATCTGGGTGTCGCTTTAAAAAGAATCTTTACCAACCTCTTCCGGGCCGATTGCAAGTTAAAGGATTGGCACTTGGATTTACGTCAAGAAAACCTTTAGCCGAGTCTTGTATATTTCACTCTTACTGGAAAACCTTTGTCTTGGCATGTTATGATCCAATGCTTTAAACGATTGCTCCGTTGGCTCATACCATTTTCTATGGACTGAAAAGCAGACTGAAGATCTTGTTCTATATATTGTCTGTGATACGTTTTATGTTCCAAATTTGATTCATTATACCCACATTAGCACTTAGTTTATAACAACTAAAAGAATTGTAATTTTATAAATACAAATCCCGACAAAAAACATATTCTTATTACACATTACAGTTATTGGCCACCCTGTGGTTTAGTGATTGGCAGTCGGCCAACCACTGGTTATTGCCTTTAACAATAAGCAAAAATGTTTGAAATCTCTTTTCTTGGACCAAACTAGGCTAAAAAAGTCTAAACTATAGTAAATATTTTAATTCGAAGTAGGTACAGTCAATGGCCAATAGGCCAATCATTAAAACACGGACATATTTAAGATACAGTATTTGGCCACTCAAATTTACCGTCAAAAAAGCACAACTTAACTATTAAAATCACTGATAATGTAAGATGTACCCCACTAAATCGCCATAAAACATTAATATACCCAGATACATAATACGATTAGCCAAGATAACTCACCTCGTGAATAGCCTTCCTTAACAAATTCTTTAAAAAACTCTCAAAACTTGATGCACCTGTTAAGCTTCAAACAACATACCCCGTAACAACAGATAATATTAACAGAGAGAGTATAGCTAGACTAAATATACAGCAATGTTGCCAAATTTAAATGCAAATAAATTTATTTCGTTATAATTTCTGAAAATCTTAATATTTCGGATTTTTGTGAAAGTGGCGACCAACAACTGTACCCGTGACCCTATTCGGAAAATTTAAAGAAAATAGAGTGTCGTGTAGAGAAAAAAATAGCATTAAGAGCATGAATTTTCATAAAAATTCGTCCCCTCCCAATGCAAATTGACAAGTTTTTTTTATTTTGAAGAAACTCTTGGTTTCTGAGGGATCAAATTTTCGTTGGATCACACTGTATAATGGTTAAAATGCTCGGATAGTTTATTGTTTACAATATTTTGAAAATAATGGGCTGGACTTTGTTATCAAAATAGTATTAGCTAGCGTTTAATATTCTTCAACTTATACTGAGATTCAACTTTTGTAACGAAATTGTTAATATTCTTGTTATGACATACTTCGATGTAACTATATTTGGTTATAATTAGCATTACAAAAAATTGTGACAAATACGCTTTACTCATACAATTTTCATCTCTTACTTTTTAGCTGAAGTCACTACCCTTCCGCCAACGCCAGAAATTAAAGATTGTATAAATGCAACTGGATATGTTCAAAGAATTGATCCTCTTCTAGATAACGATGAACTACAGCAATTTGCTTTACAAATCGCCAGTGGTATGGAGTATTTAGAAAAAATTAAAGTAACACACAGGTAATACATTGCATCTTATTTTTTTTGTATTTTATTTTTGATTTTTTTTTCAGAGATTTAGCAGCTAGAAATATTCTAATGGCCAACAATAAAGTTCTAAAGATATCTGATTTTGGATTATCGAGAGTGGGTACTTATGTCAGTAAAACAGGTCAAAAATTACCTCTCAGGTGGATGGCTATCGAAGCGATCGAAGAGAAAATTTGTACCAACAAGAGTGATGTATGGTCGTTTGCTGTAGTTTTGTGGGAAATGGGAACGTTAGGTTTGTATTATCAATACTTTTAAACGGAGTATATAATTGTGTAATTTGTAATAATTTTTCTGTTGAGTTTTATTTTTGAAGCGTGTTAGAGTTAAGGGAAAACTCATTTCAAAGTTGGATTTAATTATCTTCTGATAAGTTTTCTTTACACTTTATGTGAATGTGATATTCATTTCCCCGTGATTAAGCGTAAATAATAAGAGACACTATTACTCCCATCATATAACATAAACTAGAGTCGGGTAAAAAAAGAAGAAAAAGAACGGAAGAAAAAAAAAGTAGAAACTGGAATCTAGTAGATAGAAACAAACTAGGTCAATATAAAGAGATATACAAAGACCTATTAAAAGAACAACTTACCCAAAGATTAGACAGTGACGATAAAGATATAGACGAAATAGACAACATACTTACAGCAACAATGATTACATCAGGAAAAGAAATAGCAAAGAAGGATCTAAAAAAGAACAACTATATATCAACAGAAACAAAGAAGCTTATGGATAAAAGAAGGAAGCTGAACGAAGAAGGCAAAAGGAAATCTATAGAATATGTAGAAATTAATAAAACAATAAGCAGAATGATAAAAGAAAATAAGAGAAAAGAACAAGAAATAAAAATAGAAGAAGTAATACAAAACAACAAAAATATGAAATGCTTAAGGCCGAAATTAGGTAAGTTTGAGATAAACAAAATAAAAGATGTAAATGGAATAGAAACAAACGTTAAAGATGACATCATAAATACAATCCACCATTTCTACTCAGAATTATATAAAAGAAAAAAGGAACCAACAGAAGAAATTAAAAACCAACTTAAGGTCAAAATAAAAAATGTCAACTCAGAGCTGCAGCAAGAAATAAGCAAATCAGAAATAAAGAAGGCATTGAAAGAAATGAAAAACAACAAATCGCCTGGAAAAGATGGAGTAACTACAGAGATGCTGAAATATGGTGGAAAAGTGGTAATTAATACTCTACATTCCCTTTTTAACAGGATATTAAAAGAAAAAAGAATCCCAAACAACTGAAAGGAATCAGTAACCATTATCCTCCTCAAGAAAGGGGATAAAGCAGATATAAAAACTACCGTCCTATAACACTCCTCAATGTAATGTATAAACTCCTAACAAAAATTTTAACCAATAGATTGACGACAAAATTCGATGGATACCAGTCGAAAGAACAAGCTGGTTTTAGAAAGGGATTCAGCACAAGTAACCATTTACTAAGTATGAAAATACTTATAGAACGAGCAAATGAATACCACATTCCTCTATATATGGCGTTCATATATTTCGAAAAGGCTTTCGACAGTGTCGAACATTGGGCAGTGAAAAGTTCTTTGATTAACAGCCGAATTGACCACAGATATACGGAACTAATAACCAATATATATAAGGAAGCCAAAACAACAATTAAAGTATATGAAGGAACAAAATCATTACAAATAAGTAGAGGCGTGAGACAAGGTGATACAATATCACCGAAACTTTTCAATCAGGCTCTTGAAGATACTTTTAAAAGATTAGAATGGGAAAAAAAAGGTATAAAAATTTGTGGACAACGCTTGAACCATCTAAGGTACGCTGATGACATCGTATTGATAACCGATAAAAAAGAAGAATTATTTGAGATGATGAAAGAACTGGACGTAGAAGCTGGAAAGATAGGCCTTAATATAAATTACAGCAAGAACAAAACTATAACAAATACAGATGAAGACATCACAATGAGAATCGGACAAGATGAAATAGAACAAGGATTATATATATCTTGGTCAAACTATAAAACTTAACAAAGAGAACCAAACAGCAGAGATCAAGAGACGAGTTAGACTGGCATGGGCGGCATTTGGCAAACTAAGCTACATTCTTAAAAACAAAAGATATCCACAGCATCTTAAGATCAAAGTATATAATCAATGCGTACTCCCTGTTCTTACGTACGGCTCCCAAATGTGGACATTTACAAAAGCAAACATGGACAAAATCATAAAAACCCAAAGAGCAATGGAAAGACAAATGTTGCACATAAGACTAATGGATAAGAAGAGAAACGAGTGGATAAGAGAGAAAACAAAAGTGAGGGATGTTAGACAAGAAGTTGCAAAATTGAAATGGAGATTTGCCGGACACAATATAAGACAAAAAGAAGACCGATGGAACAAAATTCTTATAAGTTGGAGACCGTGGGAATATAAACGAAGCAGAGGAAGGCCCCAAATGAGATGGGCAGATGATATCAAGAAGCACGTGGGCTCTAGATGGATGACGGTAGCGACAGACAGAGAAGAATGGAAAAGGATTGGGGAGGCCTATGTCCAAAGATGGACCGAAGAAGGCTAATTAGATAGATAGAGTCGGGTAATGGCACCATAAAGGACCAGTGATAGTCCAGACTAAATCTACCACATTATACCAAAATTTATATTATAGATATAGATGTTTTGTCGTCTGCTGCTTTAACTACCTAAGCATATACGATGAGAAACAGATGAGTGGGAAGAGGAATCACCAACGATTCTTAAAGTTAAAGAAGCAGTTAAAAACTAACCAGAGGCAAATCACCCGCAGTAGATAACGCAGAACTGCAAAAAAATATTTTTCTGAAACTGTATGTATTTTTCAGCGCTGATTTTAAAAATGCAAACAATTTTTGTCTATCGCGTCAGGTTTTCTCACATAGTAGGGAGTATGTTTGGGTATTATAACAAAATGTAAGCAATTTTCACATTTTCCAACTTTATAAAATTTAGTTTATTTGTTAATCATGTTCTTAACTACATTTCCAGTACACTTACATTTCTCTTTAAGCTCATACGTAGTTATAATAACATTTTGGCTATCTGTCGAAGCTTCTTTTACTGCTTTTCCGGCTGTGGACTCGTTGAGGATCATCTCTTTTCATCGCCCAGCAGTAGTCTGCTATCATACTCACGTTCCATCTTCCTTGGCATCTTTTTCAATTTTTTTGATCTCTTGGCCCTACTCTTTACTGACATCACCAAGGATTGCCGGAAAGTAGTCAGGATGTGAGTGGAGAAAGTGAAGTTTAATGCTAATGTTACAGCCCAGCTTCTTAAAGTTGTCCATCATATCTGTGACGATTGTCTTGTAGTTTGGATCAGTTTTGTTACCTAGGAAACCGGTAACAACTAATTTACAAGATGTATATGCTGCCTTTTCATTTATTTTTATTTTGTTCACAAAGTTAGGATGTGTCATTAATTTTCTAATGTCCAATCCGACAAAGATTCCTTCCTTTAGCTTTGCCGTGGATAAACCGGGAAACTGTTCACAAAAATATCTGAAACACTCCCCTTCTTTAATCAATACATTGACAAATTATTTCATCGAGCCATATTACAGAAAAAAAAACTTAATGTGAAGTAGTAGAATGTCTTTATAGATAGTCTCAAACACCTGTTTGAGATTCACAAGGCTTTTTCTTTCAACATTTTTAACCCCCAATTGTAAGCTTTCTTTCAAAGGCCGTGCTTTTTTATGTAGTTTTGCTTTTTATCTCTACTGTCCCATACACAGAGAAAGAAAGAGAACTTTTTATAGCCACTTTTTTGGACAAGCATCATTGAAATCACTTTTAAATCACCACATAGTGTCCATTTGTGGTCTGAATAGCAGGGTTTGCTTAAAACCAGTTCGCAGTTTTCGTAACATTCTTTTAAGTGAGTCGAGTGTCTATCTGTTTTAAAAGCATACTTATTGTCATTGTGTAGAAGTACTGCTTTAAGGCTTCTTTTTGAACCATCAATAAAATGTCTTCACTCATTAGGAGCATATTCTAGTTTGAGGAGTACCATAAGGCCAGGAACATGACTGCAAAACACCAGGTAATCTTCTTGGGAGGAAGATACAAATTCTACGCCTAGGTCTCTTACTAAATTTTTCAGTTCAAATTGTGAGAATGGAATGGGATCGGTGTGGCAGGATCGCAGCAATCACTATCTTCTTTACTATCACCTTTAGCATTGGCACTTTAGGTTCATGATGGACAGGGCAAATGACTGATTGCATGTGAGAGTAAGAAATATCCTTTTTGTTTCTCAAATTGAAAACTCATTGCAAGAACAAAAATAGCAGTCGTCACTATGATTTTTGGGCTCCCTCCAAACCATTGGTATTCCACAACGCAAAGAACGGCTTTTTACCTTGAAACCATTGCTTCAGATCTTCAACAGAGATTGAACAAACTTTGTGTGAGACCCAAGGATTATTTTGAATGCTTAACTTTATATTTACCGCAGAAATCCCTTCCCTGTGATTGGAATATTGGAATATCTAGCACCATACACAAAAAAGGAGATATCTTTGAATGCTCTAACCACAGAGGAATTACACTTCTACATGCAGCGTATAAAATATTTTCCACAATACTATGCCACTGTATTGCACCATATGCAAAACGAATAGTAGGAAAATACCAAGCTGGTTTCAGAGGTGTCAAATCGACAATTTATCAGATTGCAACCCTGATACAAATTTTAGAAAAGACACTGGAATATGGCATAGATAATAGTCACATATTTATAAAAGCATCTACGACTCTGTAAATAGAAGAGAAATGTTCAAAGCAATGAAAGAGCTAGGAGTACCAAATTAGTTAATAAATTTAACAAAATTAACTTTTGAAAATTAATAATACGAATCCACGAGGAACTGTCTGAACCTTTTAAAACAAATGTATGTATACTCTTCTGTATACTGTTTAATCTGGAAAAAGTAATAAGTATGTCACAACTTACAATTACCGGTTAAATATATAACAAATCAGTTCAAATCCTTGCCTATGCTAATGATATGAATATTGTTCTTCTTCTTCTTCTTCAGCCTGTGTTCGTCCACTGCTGGACATAGGCCTCTTCCATTTGCTTCCATCGATTTCTACTTTTGGCAATTCTCATCCACTGCTTGCCCGCGACTTGTTTGATATCGTCTGTCCACCTCTTCTGCGGTCTGCCTACTCCTCGCCTGTTCTCTCTTGGTCCCAGTTTGTTAATCTTTGTGTCCATTTTTCGGGATTATCTCGGGCAACGTGTCCGACCCATTGCCACTTGAGCCTTGCAATACGTTCTGAGACATCAGTAATTTTTGTTCTTTCACGAATGACGTTATTTCGAATCCTGTCTCTCAAACTAATCCCTAGCATGGCCCTCTCCATTGCTCTTTGGGTTGTACTGAGCTGCTCTAAGGTTTTCTTTGTGAAGGCCATGGTCTCCAGTCCATATGTAGTTACAGGCAAGATACATTTGTCATAAACTCTACGTTTTAGACACATTGGTATATCTTTATTCTTCAAAATAAAGCTTAATTTGCCGAAAGCTCCCCAGTACAGTTGTATGCGTCTTTTTATTTCGGCTATTTGATTTTCTTTGCCGATTTTAATGGTATGTCCAAGATATATATAGTGGTCTACATTTTCAAGAGTGACGTTGTCAATAACAAGATTAGTTTGTAAATTACTCATTATTTTTGTTTTCTGAAGGTTCATTTTGAGACCTATTTTATTTGACTGCTGGTTTAATTCCTTCAACATTTGCTCCAGTTCCTTGATATATGTACTAAATAATACTATGTCATCCGCAAACCTCAAATGACTCAAACGTACACCATCAATGTTTAGACCTTTTTCCTCCCAGTCAAGCTGTTTGAATACATTTTCCAATGCTAAGGTAAAAAGCTTTGGTGAAATAGTATCACCTTGTCTAATACCTTTATCAAGGCGCATTTTTTCAGTTTTTTCGTCTTCATTGATTTTGATGTGGAGTGTGGCCTGTTCATAAATGTTTTTAATGAGTGTAGTGTACCGTGAGTCTATTCGAGCATCCTTCAGGGCTGACAAAAAGGACCAAGTCTCAATACTATCGAAAGCCTTGTGAAAGTCGATAAATGCCATATGTAAAGGTACATTATATTCTGTGGTTTTTTCTACTAGTGTTCTGATGGTTTGTAAGTGATCATTAGCGCCAAACCCTTTTCTAAATCCCGCCTGTTCAACCGGTAGATATAAATCAAGTTTTTGTGTTATGCGGTTGGTTATTATTCTTGTTAACAATTTGTATAAGTGTGACAACAAACTTATAGGTCTGTAGTTTTCAATATTAGTAGTGTCTCCTTTCTTGTGTAAAAGTATTATTTCGGCGTTTTCCCATGGGCTGGGTATTCTTTTTTCTGTTAGACACTTATTCAGTAAGACTTCCACAACTTCTACAACGATATTGCCGCCCATTTTTAACATTTCAGACGTTATACGATCCTCGCCGGGAGCTTTTTTGTTTTTCATTTGCTGTAAGGCATGTCTAATTTCCGAAGAGGTTATTTTAGGGAGGGTTTCCGAGCCGACGTTTAGAATTGTTCTGTGGTCTGTTTTGGGATTCTGTATAGTAGATGTATAAAGATTCTTATAGAACGTTTGTATTTCCTTGATTATTTGAGTTTCTTCGGTCACCGTATTCCCCTGTTAATTTTTTATTTTAGTTATATTTGATTTTCCTTTAGTTAAATTTGATTTCAATACTCTCATGTTTCTATTGTTTTCGATGGTTTGCAATATTTGTTGTGTTTTATAAGCCCGCAAGTCTGACCTTATGCTATTTTTAACTTTATTGTTGATAGCTTTATACTCTGGTAATTCTTTCGATGTTCTTCTTCTTTCTTCGATTAAATTAAGTGTTGTTTGTTTCAGTTTCGTTTTTCTGGGATTTTTATTTTTATCACAGATCTTTTTTTTGCAGTTGATGTTATGTCGTTCGTAACATAATATTGAATATTGTAATGAATATTGTTAGGAGAATGGAAAACGCTGAACGAGAAGCATATGTAACACTAAAAGAATAGGCTACAAAATGGATTTAATTATATACACCAAACAAAACAAAGTACATGAAAATAAGCACGAAACCACAAATCACATGACTACTTTTTATAGAAAACAATGTCATCGAAGCAGTGATCAAATTTGTATACTTGGAAGCGAGTATTATTATACTACCGCACAGATAAATCCCAGAAGGCGAAAATATGAAGCAGTGAATGACAATGCAGTGTGGAGAAGACGATATAACTTTGAACTTTATAGAATGTACCAGGAACCAGATAACGTAAAATATATTAAGTTCGTCTAAGGTGGATGGGGCATCTAATACGGATGGAAAAAAATTACAGCTAGAAAAAGGCTATTTGAAAGACCCACTGGTCAGAGGAGGAAGACGTAGAACAAAGTAACATCGATGAAGACATAGAAATATGTCTTCATCGGCATTGAAATATTTATAGAAATATGGAAATACGTGCTTACCTAAGGAAGGCAATGGGACTGGAGAGAAATTCTTGAGGAGAATAGGACATACTGAGGATTATAAAGCCAGAATGATGATGACAATTTGGATAACAGCGTTTATTTTAACAACTCTTGCCTTCGGTGCCGCTAAATTATGCTTTCTATCCAAAAACACATGTCTACATTCGTGTTAAAAATTGGGAAAATCACATTAAAGTGTTCCGATTGGCGACACTTTAATGAACTATAAGGATTTATAAGTGCTCTTTTCAGTCTGCAATCTCTTTTCTTTTTGCTTTAGAGGCTGTTTTATGGTTCTTTTCCGTAGTCTTAACTTCATAAATATAAGTAAATATTTATTCTATATAATTACAATCCCATACAATTTTAAAATTACTATTTAAATTTTCTTATGATTAGTGAGACTATGTTATATAGTGAGACAAGTATCTTGATTTCGATTTAAACGCAACTTTTTATTTTTTAGGTGCCTTCCCGTATCCCAAGACTCACAACAATTTCGTGCTATACGAGCTTAAGATGGGTAAAAGACTGGAAAGGCCCAAAGTGTGTACGGACGACCTATATAATTTAATGATGAAATGCTGGAGCGAGAAACCGGACGACAGACCAAACTTTAGCGATATCGTAGAGCAGCTAGATACAAAGAAGAAGAAGATATACGTAGATTTTAATACGTTGAGTCCGACGTACATTTTCCCTCCTGCACAAGAGCCAGAGAGTACCTGATAATATTTTTGAATTTGAGAATAGACTGATTTTATTTTTGTACATATTTTTTAAATAGTTTCTTAAATATAGGTATTATAGTTAAAGAATAAAAAGTAGAGATTAATTTATCTATTAAAAAATCCTCTTTTCTGCCTAATTCCCCACATACAATTTTCAGGATCTTTGTAATTACTTTATAATTATTTATATTTATAAAGGATTACAAATTGATAAATAGAGGTGATGAATGAAACAAGTTACAAGAAATTACATCGACTGAAAAAAAGCAGGCCTTAGTGTTCTTATTTTAAGAAAAATAGGGCTCTCTTAGTTGTTAATAAAGAAATCTAAAGTTCAGAACATAATACTTTTTCACAAGCTATAACCAAAAAATACAGAAATCGTCTTTATTCGTTAGTATAACCTTGTATGACGACATTATTAGACAACATTATTGACAACATTAGAAAATAAAAAAAACGGTTAACGAATTGGTAAATACAAATTCAATCATAAAAGACATTTTTGAAGATTATTTAACAATACCAAACAAACAAAACAATAACAAACCTCTATAACATTTAAGAAGATGCTAAAATGTCAGACCGCATAGATAACCTGCTGTTAAAATATATCGAGTAAGAACTAGCTGAAAAACAATAATTGTGAAGCAAATCTTAAATTCGGCGTTGATTCCTGATGACTGGAATAGAAAAAACCACTTTACCTTTCTTCCACAAGAATTTTTCGAGAGAGGTATCTAGGTCAGTGATTCCCAAAGTGGTCTATATCGACTCCCAGTTTCTATGAATACCTGCAAGTGGCATAAGTGGGCGAAAAAAATGGGGTTCTATCAAATGAAAATAGGGGTAACTGGCAAGAAATTTCAAAACTTGCAAAAAACAATGTAATTGAAATAATTTTGACATTAAAAAAACTTACAAAAATATGATTATATATAATTAATATCGTTGGTCTAAAACTGCTTTCACTTGATCTCGGAGCGTTTTATACACGTCTCACTTCCTCCAAAGTACGCGCCCATGGTACAAAGAATAACAGGTATGATATTGCGCAGGTCACTCTGTTAGCAGATCCCCTACTCTTGACATCACAATGAGAGTGGCCGTTACAAGACTATTATGAGACCAATAGTATTCCACCTAGTCAATTACTGGTAGATCAGCAACAAATACTCAAAGTGAACCGTTACTACTATTTAGGAACCACCATAAACGACCAATGGGACCACTCTATTGAGATAAAACAAAGAATTGAAAAAGCCATGTCAGCGTTTGTCAGAATGGGCAAGATATTTAAGAGCCATGACCTACCCTTAAAGACGAAAATCCGTTTATTGAGATGCTACGTGTTTACAGTGCTGCTCTATGGGGTTGAATCATGGACACTAACCAAGTCATTCACGGGAAAACTCGAGGGGTTTGAGATGTCGTGTTATAGACGGATACTGAGGATCTCCTGGGTGAACCGAATAACATTGAGGTTCTACGTCGGACGGGTAAAACATGTGAAATTATATCCACAGTGAAACAGCGCAAGCTAGAATATCTTGGACATATAATACGAAACGATCATAGATATAACCTGTTGCAACTTATATTACAGGGGAAGGTCTACGGAAAGAGTTTTACCAGTAAGAAGAAGGACATCTGGGCTCCAGAAGTTACGAAAATGGTTTTTCTTGACCACTTTAGGACTATTTCGAGCTACGGTTAATAAAGTTAGAATTGCCATGCTAGTAGCCAACATCCGTAACGGATAGGCACCACAAGAAGAAGAATTAACATACCAATGCTTCTCTGCGATATGAACCCTAAAATTTTTACAGAATTACAGATCAACCATATAAAATTATAACCTTCATATAATAACCTATCCAATATTAACATTAAACCACTGATAAGAAAACAAATAAAATATAGATGAAATGTGTATATTCACTGATAATTGATAATAGGGCATGAGATATATTCTCAGACTCACGACAGTAGTCCAAAAATTAAGAAAACAGATGTACTGGCTGATTATTCAGAAGAATAAAAGCCAAAACGAGAAGATGATTTTGTCATCTAAAAAAATATTTGCTTTCAGAGTTTACCGCACAAACTCTGTTCGTTTCTTGTAAATTAACTGAAAGCAGTAAAAAAGGGCATGAAATATTGTGTTTTAATGTCGGCTGAACAAAAAGACAGCCATTCAAGTCTTATCAACTCCATTGTGAGAGGCTTTGTTAATCTATACAATTTTTAAAATTCTTCTTTTTATATAGACATGACTGTTTGTTTTTCAATGTGCCTCCAGTAAGTTGTCGTTACATCGTTTTCTTGGTCTTGATATTGAGGATCCGTCTCTTGCCTTCTTTACTACCCTATTTGTTGTCATTCGGCTTAAATGATCGTTCCATTCTACTCTTCTGTTTCTTACCCAGTTCTTGATGTTCCCCACCTTACATCTACTTCGTATATCTGTACTTCTAGCTCAGTCACATAGTGTCTTACCATCAATTTTTCTAAGTGTTTTCATCTCTGTTGTTTCTAGCATCCTTTTTGTAATCTCTGTGTAGCTCTTGTTTCTGCCGCGTATGTCTATTATTGGTCTGATGACCGTTTTTTGTAAATTCTGCCTTTCGTTTCTTTCCTGAAATTTTTATTTCCTCATATTGTTTCATTCAGGCAGTCCGCGGCTGTCTGCTCTATTCACTTCATCTTCCACTTCAGTTTCGAGTTTTCCTTAGCTAGATAATGTGATGCCTAGATATTTAAACTTCATCACTTGTTCTACTATTTGACCTTCCAGCTACAATTTATACCTTAGTAAATTTGCTGTTGTAACCTTTGTCTTTTTTGGGGAAATTAACATGTTAAATTTTCTGGTTATTATATTAAATTGGTGCAGCATACGTTGTAAATTATCTTTACTTTGAGAGAGTAGTATACCCGGTTCGCTATTCCAAGTCCGAACTGTCTAGTGATAGTAGTGACACAGTTTAACCACAAACCACTTAACCACTTAACCACTTTAACCACTTCTTTTTTATACTATGGTAGTGATTTTAGTAATTATTTTTTTCCGAAGTTAGTTACTTTTTGACAGACTCTAAGTGGCTGGAAAATACTATACAACCAAGCATACGTGCTCTTAGTCAATATTAATATAAACAAAAGTAAATAAAATTGAACTTTGCCGACAATCAATATTTATTTATTTACACCGTATAATGTATTGATAACAAATAATAAAATTATTTATTGTCCAAAATAAAAAGTGGGAATAAATTCTACTGTTGTATTATTAATAAACGTAGGCTTTTTAAATTTTTATTAACTCTTTTATTTAAGAACCATTACAATATCGGCATGGCACGAAGTGTCAGCCTTCATTTATATGTCAACCAACATCAAACATAAAACTAATATGACATCTAACATAAAACATAAAACTAATAGAATAGACTTAAAACTAAATATATGACATCTTCCTCTTTTTAATTTTTTTTTTTTAGTATACATAATCCTTAAATTTAATTGGTTGCTTAATCACCCTTCCCCTATTACTCATGCGTGGAGCCAAATCAATTACTTGTTGATCATCATGTTTAGAGTCATTTATTATTTGATTAGGTTCGTTATATGTCTGCCTATGTCTTTCAGTGTCATTGTTATTCACAATATCATCTCCAGCATATCTTCGTTGACATTCATGTCTTGAGTGTTTTAAATGTACACTGTTTCTTCGTACCATATTTCCATTTTCTTTTTCTACTATGTAAGATCTAGGGGAGTTTTCAACCTTTGATATAATCCTGGCTGGTGACCAGGTTGATCCCTCTCGCATTACTACATTTTCATTATTCTGAAATTCATTTCTTCTCAATGTTGTTCGATCATAATACTGCTTATATAATTTTCTTTTTTCTTCTAACTTACTTCTTTCATTATCATAGTCAATGTTCTCTGGTTCCAGCAGTTCTTCTTTGATTGGAAGCTTTGTTCTTAATCTTCTGCTTTGTAACAGCTGAGAAGGAGATTTATCCGTTCCTGATACTGGTGTGTTTCTGTATTCTAATAGTGCTATGTTCAAATCTTCACATTTTCTTAACATATTTTTAGATGTTTGCACTGCCCTTTCTGCCAGCCCGTTTGACCGCGGGTAATGTGGACTAGAGGTGCAAAATTTAAAATTCCAGTCTTTTGCAAAATTCTTACACATTAGTGAATCATAAGGCATATTATCTGAAACTACCTCCATTGGGATTCCGAACCTTGAGAATATTAATTTTAAACATTTTACTACTGTTTCCGCAGTTTTGTCCTTTACTGGAATTACTTCCAACCATTTTGAAAAATAGTCTATCAAAACAAAGTAAGACTTCCCACCATAGTCAAAAAAATCGCTAGCTACTTTTTGAAAAGGCAGCTCAGGAAAATCTCTTAAAATTAATGGTTCCTTGACATTATTGTTGCTAAATTGTTCACAAGTCTTACATTCCTTAATAAAATTTTCAATATCAGCATTTATTTGAGGCCAATATAAAATATGCTTTGCACGATTTTGAGTTTTAGTAACACCAAAATGATTCTCATGCAACAGTGAGAGCATCCCTCTGCGTAATGCATTAGGTACAATGACTCTGTCATTATAAAACAGCAAATCATTGCATAGATGTATGTCATGTCTAATTGAATAATATCTTTTAAGTGATTCCGGAACTTTACTATTATCTGTAGGCCATCCCCTTAAGCAATAGTTTGTTAATCTTTGTAACCCAATATCCTTTAATGTCTCTTCAATGAAAACTTGTTTTTTCTCCTCTGTGAAGTTAATTGAGTGAACTATTTCTGTAATGAACACATCATCCTCACTTGTAATATTCTGAAAGTTTCTAGACAGTAAATCAGCAATATGCATTTCTTTTCCTGGCTTATATCTTACCTCAATATCATACTTTAAAAGCTTTACCTTGATTCTTTGTAATCTTGGTGAATGGACTTCAGACACTCCTTTTTTCATTAACGCCTCTAATGGACGATGATCTGAATCAATTTTAATATGACGTCCATAAACATAATTATGAAATTTATTGCAAGCCCATAGAATGGCTAGATACTCCTTTTC